CTCCACGGTCAGATTATCAGTTCAAGAGAGGCGGAGAGAGGAGGAGCCGAGGTTATTATTTCGTTTCCTTAGTCGGGAGTGTTTAAAGCATATTTCTGAATTAGCCGAGAATCCGCTGCGAAATCCGATCCTTGGAGCTCGGAGCAGTCGCTGTAATTTGTCTGAAATTGCTCTCTGTATCCAGTATTTATATGACGAATGGCAGACTAGTATTCTGACAAGTGCAAAAAAAAAATAAAATAATACTAATACGATGTAAATGTGATTATGTTAGACATATAAAATAAAAGAGCCGACCTAGTGATTATTAAATGTTTCCCAGCTGGAAAAAATCTTTGGTGCCACATTCAGATCTGTTGATCAAACATATTTTAAGATGACAACTTTTAATTTTTTTTACGCTAGCAGTCGGTTCACATTAATCTAAAATTTAATCTGTAAAGTTGTTGACGTGAATCATGCAATAGTAAATATTCATAGCACTTCGTTTTGTGTGTTATTAAGCACTCATATTAATCGGCCCATTACCAACGTCGCTCAACAATTACCTCTTATACGGTATTCCGTTAACTTGCTTATGGAGAAACATGAACCACAAGCACAGCAGGTGTAAGTGAAGTCATGCAAACTTCTAAGTGGATCTTATGTGATTAGCTAAAACAACGTTTGTGTTCCAGTATCAAGGAGTTATTAGGAAAGTTATGAGCATATTCGAAAGTATATAATAATAAATATCACTTAAAATAATTAAAACTATGCATTTAAAGGCTAGAATAAACTAGATAATTCGGAAGATAATTGTGATATGACTATTTTTGATTGGAAATATACGTTCACAGTTTGTTTTTTAACATGTTATAAATGCACAAAGTTTCTATATATATAAGGTTAAAGCATTTAAAACAAACGGGGAAAATACTGGATACAAGAACTTACTACATCATTTTTTTTTTCACGTATATTAAGGTTTGTGTTATTTTTAGCAACTGTGAAACTTTTTTCTAAAGTGTTTCATGGTAAGAATAAAATTTCGCGGCAAGTAAATTACATATGTTGATAGGTGATTATTATTCGAAGTTTTCCTTGGATATTCGAGATTTTCTGTATTCACAGGAAAGTGTCGTATCATTAAATACTCACTGTGTAAGGATTTATTCACACAACAATAAGATGCACCCCCTGTTTTTGTTATATACTGCTGTAAAATGTACGGTTTAAGTAGAGAATTACTAATGGAATCCATATGGATCACGTCAGTTTGTCAAATATTTTTTTCAAACTATTTGTATACCATATTACTTGTGGGCCCATGATTTTGTTGTTTACAGAATTCTAAATAACATATGAGCGCACAAAAGATGTAAACAAAATGCCGTAAACACTGTACTTAATCTCACTAGCTTAACATAAGAAACGAATGAATTTACCTAATGTTTTTCGTCAGTTCTTTAGGCTGAATGTCCTTGCAGGCAAAACATAAAATCACTAAATATGACATAATATGTGAACACCCCTGAAAACAAGTAATTTAGGAGTTGAAATTTGAAACGGACTTAATCGTTATTAATATGTCGAGTATTCGCTAGTAGCAGGTTATCTGGTGCTCATCAATACCACTTTGTTACTGATTAAATCTACACCAACATGCTTTATTTAAAATTAATTCCCACTTCCATATGAAATATGTACTTCTACCCACCTTCCTAAGATTTTGGAAACACATCCATGTGATACTCTAAGTTGTCTGCTGATATCACACGGTCGGACACCCTGGTGAGCCATCTCCACAATCCTTTGTCTAACCATGTCCGGTAGAGGACGTCCATTTACAAACATTCCGCCTAATTGGTTGATCCCTCCATGGCCTATTATGAGAAAAGGAAACGAAATAATCTTATTTTAGTGTGAGTCGCTAACATATGAGATTATGAAGAACTTTATATACAAGTCGGTATAATTAAACGTTGTTCTTTCTTCGAGAAAAGACGAACTAAACGTTTTAAACTATAACTTGACAATAGATAGATTAACAGAGACAGAGCTAATTAGATAGAAAAAAAGGAGGTTGTGTTATATGAATAGAACGACAGATAGATATGGTATCAAATAAAAACAGACAAGAAAGCAGATATATCGATAGATATAGTATTAAATAAAGACAGACAAGAAAGCAGATGTGTAGATAGATATAGTATTAACTAAAGACAGACAAGAAAGCAAATATATGGACAGATATAGTATTAAATACAGACAGACAAGAAAGCAGATGTGTAGATAGATATAGTATTAACTAAAGACAGACAAGAAAGCAAATATGTGGACAGATATAGTATTAAATACAGACAGGTAAGAAAGCAAATATATAGACAGATATAGTAGTAAATACAGACAGATAAGAAAGCAAATGTATAGATAGATATGGTGTTAAATACAGACAGATAAGAAAGCAGATATACAGATAGATGCACCAACTTTAAATTAACGAACATCGAGAAAACGATTCTCGGGAACAGCTCAGATACGGTTTTTATGTTTTTCTGCCTTTTGTATAATGAGCTTTGTTGAATTATTTTGCAATCGTCCCAGCCAAGCCTCGTGATGAGGTATGTAACTGTTTCAAGGAAAGAGTTAGTACATAAAACAGCACAAAATATTGCCGCAGGTTAGAAAATAATATGGTAGAAATCGACCTATTCGCTTATAAGTACATTAAAGCACGTGCAATACGTGGTAACCATATACAACGTATCAATACTTTCCATGACATATATTTATAACCTTGAATACTTATATATTTCAAGTGTTTCTAGGTAATATTAAACTTCAGTAGCTTCAGGCAAATACATTTTTTTGTCATGGACACCGCGGTAATCATATTGACACAATGGACGCTAACACGTGCTTACATTTGTATATTGACAACGTTCGGGGTAGTTAAGGTCATTTCTCGAAATCTCTGAACGTGAAAACTTTAATTTTCATTGAAATTCTCCTAATAAATTGTGAAATAAATTTCTTGACTCACGCATTTTAGTATCATAAAATGTCTTTAAGCTTCTAAGGATGAGGTAATGATAATAAACAAACCTTAAAAACAGATTATGCGCTTTTTTTTAAAGAAATTATAAACTTACTTTTGTCACGTTTCGATTAAATCACTTTCATATCAGAACAGGTTAGAATATGTATCTCAATCTAGAATTAGAAACATTGGTAAAGGTTTTAATAATTATTTGACTAAAACGTTGGTCCACCTTATTCTTTCTGGAAGCTTAGTTTTGGATTGCAATACAAATGTTTTTTTTTCTTTTCAAAAGAATACTTGAAAATACCGGTACTCTCCTATAATAAAGCCTTGTACATCCAAATTTTAGAGGTAGCTTGCTTTGATGAGACGTTATCGATAATTATATACATATATACCAACAATAGGGCGTTAATAATGCTTATGTATGTGTGTGTGTGCAGGTGTAGATTTCAACTCGAGTCCCTGTGCATGAATACAAATCAGGAATATTTAATTTCCTAATTAAGTGATACATAGTTCCATTCTTCACCTACTCTACCTCTACACACGCTGTGGACAAACTATTTTACTGTTAACCGAATGTATACTGCAAGGGGAACGGGAAAATATTACACGGTAATGAGCAGCTTAATGTGATTCAGATCCCCATACTATAAGGTCATTATTTAATAAAATTTAGCTGCAAAGAAATGCATTTGAAATTCCAGGGATTCCTGTATAATTACCGCTAAGTCGTGCAGAATACCTCGGCATTTGCCAGAAAATGTTTTTATACTGATTCAGTTTTCTTTTCAAGTTCAACTTAAAATATTTTAAAAATAATTCTAAACCTCAATTTGATATCATAAAAAAAAAGTAATGTTATTCATATCTGGTATGTCTAGGTATGTCTTCCAAATATTGATCAACCATGTACAAATGAACTTGAATAAAGATTTTCAATTAAAATCTAGGTAATAGAAAACAATTTCAGTATCAGTTAGCCCCACACCCCCTACAGTGGTTCAGCGTTAAGCCTGCACGCTGAAAATCTGGTTTCGATATCTGTGATGGGCTGAGCATAGATAGCCTTTTGTGTACCTCTGTGCTTAACAATAATCAAAACAGTATCAATTAACGTAGTTCAAAGTTGTTTTCGAGGAGCTTGATGTACAGCTGTGACATCACTCTGACAGTTCACGTGTAAAGAGTAACATCACAAATTCAACGTGTACAAAGTAAATGAACCTACAGTTAGTTGGAATTTTCTGGAGCGAATCTAGGGTTTTAAGAAGTGGACTCAAAAAGTTTTGCATCGATGTCAGACACACGCATTTTTCTGAAACCGTGTGTTACAGGATCTTACGTTTTAACTGTTCATAGGTAATTTAAAGAATGCTGATATCAAACAAAGCTGCCCTCAAATGTTTTAGCTGAAACATTATTTGTTTTTTCTCTTTTGTATGCTTATGTGGGATGATGAAATTACTTTTACAGAAAATTTGTCTCCATAGTTGGAATTGTAAAAGCAGGAATAGGAAGTTGATAATGTATATATACATATGTATGTGTGTGTGTGTGTTTGTGTTTATGTATATATGTATATGTAAATAAGCAGGCGTAACTTTAATATCGAGGTTATGCGTGTGAATCCAAATTAAGGGTATTTGATTTCGTACATGCAATGTTTAATTCTTCAACCATCGACTTTACCCAACCCATATTGTTAATTCTTTAATACTTACAATTACCGATATGGACCGCATCAGCTTTTAAATACTTTTTTCTAAGTTATTTATGAACCAAATTCTCTGTGGGTCCAGGATTTTGTTCGTTAAAGGGCCCCTAATAACAATGCATTTAAACTAATCACACTAATTACTGCTGGGGCCTCATAGGTGTTCATCGTATATAATATGGGATAACGTCCAGTGATTTTGGTCAATATAACAGGCACAAACATAAAACTACTCAATATGATGCATTATATAGTTGTTTGTTTTTAATTAAGCACAAAGCTACACAATAGGCTATCTGTGCTCTGCCCACCACGGGTATCGAAACTCGGATTCTAGCGTTCTAAGTCCGCAGACATACCACTGCGCCACTGGGGGGCACATTATATAGATTCCAACCTTTGGTCAACTAACTATTCCAAAGCCCTTTAAGAAGCCATATTTATCTATCAAATTATAAATTATATTTATTGGACCTAGTTCGAACTTTTTCTAACCTGACCTCTTATAACTTCATATTACATTGTTTTGTAACTAAATTGATAACTATGTTATCCTTTTTGATACATCTTTTTTTTTTTCGTTGTGTGTGTGAGGGGGTGTAGCATTGTCTCCTCTATATACATCTTTTACTTACTCTTACATGAATAATATTCCATCATGGTGGCATTATATCGATAGGCAGTGGTGAGGTCCATTGCAGAACAGGTTTCTTGGAGCGGCGGGTAGGCCTAGCTTTGCGGGACCGTCTACCTCAAGATCTAGGATGGGACGTATCGACACTACTGGATTCTCGTGACAGTGACGCGACACGCTAAACTGACTACATTAGTGTCACACCAATATGATTTCTGTCATACAAACGATCATCAATCTGCCAAAAATGATAAGAAGTTACGCACCAATCCGGATGATCCCCCCATCCCCACAGCAGAAAGTTGGAAAAAGTCAATCGCGTAAGCGAGACCCCACCGTTAGAAGGGGAGGGTTCAGGGTACGTTCCAAATCACGTGACTTGTGACGCCCACAGAGGAGAAGATGACTAGCTAGAATTTTAAGTTTTTCTACTTCCAGACGTCTTTGCTTACATTAGACTCGGCTGATACACAATTTACAGTTAAACTGATGTTTTGGTGTATCGCTCATTTAGAACCGTAACTAGAATCATGGGTAAAAAAACATCGTTTTTTTTTTTCTTTCCTATAATTTGATGAAAACCTGCGATGTAATGAAACCTCATCAACGCCTTCTCCAGTTTCGTATCCTTCCATTTCGCCAACGTATAATAAAACTTAATAATTTTAAAACCTGATTCGTATGTTAAATATTTCCGTAAACAAAACAAAAACTAAGAATGTACAAATAACTTTGGTGTTATTACAGCTGTGTGTACCTACTGGTCTTAGATTTAAATAAAAGATGAAAATAAAACAAATTTTGAATTTAGAGTCATTGAAATATTAGGGTGTAAATCTGCAATATATACTGGAAATAACAGTCACGTACAAATGAAATGGATAACATTTGATTCAAACTGATAAGTAAAAGTGCTAATATAAACAGATGGATAACAGAGTCCATTACAACTAGATGTGTAACAGATAAAAATATCACCAAATGAGTAAAGATGCTAATATATACAACTTTGATACAGAAGATAATACAAACAGCTGGATAATAGATACGAAAATAAACACAGATGGAACAGATGCTAGCATAAACAGATGGGTAACAAGTTTTAATATAAATAGATGGGTAGCAAGTAATAAAATAACAGGTAGGTAACTTATGCTGACATAAACATATGGCTAACAGAAGCAAAAACAAATAAGAAAGCTTGTTTTATTTTAAAAAACAACAACATAGCTATTTCAATATACTCTTTTATTGTAGGATATTAAAGCGATAATATGTTTATAGGTGTATATATATATATACGAGGTGCATAAAGCCAATAAAAACACCATAATTAAAACTATAATTAACCAATATGAACAATTACTAGTCGACGCGCCCACTCTTAAAATGGATTTTCATGATTCACTTTAAAACACGTTTTTCCTTGTTATGTGTTTGTGTAATAAACTTTTATCTCTCATTGAGAAATTTAAAGAAGTTTTCTTGATAAGGAAAGACGGAAGACATGGCGAAGCTATTTCGATAGCCAGTGCTATCATAGAACGAGAAAGAATAGGACAGAAGACATGACAAAGTTCTTCCGATAATTAGTGTTATAGTGGGACGACAGAAAAAAGCGACAAAAGACATTATGAAGTTCTTCCAATGGCTAGTGCTATCGTGGGACGACAGAAGACATGACGAAGTTCTTCCGATAACTAGTGTTATAGTGGGACGACAGAAAAAAGCGACAAAAGACATTATGAAGTTCTTCCAATGGCCAGTGCTATCGTGGGACGACAGAAAAAAGCGACGGAAGACATGATGAAGCTATTTCGATAGCCAGTGCTATCATTGGACGAGAAATAATACAACAGAAGACATGACAAAGTTCTTCCGATAACTATACCATGTCAGTCCAAGAACAAGTCGAACTCAAGGAAAGTTCTGGAAACTATGTTTACAAGGTTTGCCCGGAGGCAGTTTTCATTAGTAAAACGTCGTCACCAGTGTTTTTAAAAATGGAACCGAGTGAATGATATTCAGGTTCTTTGTGAATAATAATAGACCGACGACTAGACTGTATAAACGTTCTAAAAAGTCATTATTCCAAGGTTTTGTAAAATACACAGAATGTACATGTAGTTATGCAAATAAATCCTAGGTATTGTTTTAAAGTTTTGTGGTTTGTTTAAGAGTAACAATACTTTTGAGGTTCATGAAAAATTATAGTAATGTGTAGAGAAAAAGTTTCGAGGTGTATCTTTTCGTATCACTTAGAAACAACAGTAGATAGTCACAAACAATTAGATTTTACTAAATAACATATCGAGTTTACCAGCGCTTAGTTTGACAAGTTGGTTTGTTCTTATGTACGGATGCACCTGTGGTGTAATGGACGCTGGTAAATCCCCAAGGAAAAAAAAGACTATATCTTTGATATTCGTTCCCAGAATATCATATATTTACGAACGTAAAAGTGCAGGGATCGGCGTTTACACAGAAACAAGTGAAATGACCGAAATAAGTTCAAGTTTTTTGTTGTTTTTTACAGCGAAAGGTTGACAGAACAAAGATGTGTCGTGCGTCACAGACTTTTCAGTATTTGTTTGTTTGAAGTAAAGCACAAAACTACGCATTTGGCTATTTGTGCTCTGCCCACCATGGGTATCGAAACCCGGTTTTTAGCGTTGTAGGTCGACAGACATACCGCTGTGACGCTGGGGGGTAACTTTTCAGTAGATGATACAAATAAATACCTGGAGCGCTTGAGCGTCATGATATTTCTTCCATGACTCTCGGACATAAATAGAACCTTATGTATTTTACATTCCAAGATGTCTGTCGAAGAATGAAAACATGTCATAACTTTTATTCTCCTGTTTAACATAGTTTTTGTGTAACAACCAATTAGTTGATTTCTGAAACCAGAAGCTGAATATAAATATTACAAACAAGACAAAGTGAAACCTAAAACCTAATAAACAATCATTGAACATTTATAGGTTATGTAGCTTTAATTCATACTAAGGTATTTACAAAAATCCTTGAATAACACTTTTAATATTTTTTCTTGCCAATGACAGCGAAGGCACCCTGGCCTATATTGTATGGCTAGAAAGCACTTGTGGCACTAAACTTTTTATGAAGCCTTGAAACAGTTGGAAAAGTAATCTCAACTAAAACAGCTGTTCGTAGTAAAAAGAAAAGGAAAGAAAAAAATGGTTGGAAGAAAAATTAGTTAAGCATCCAGAATAACGCATGTTGTAATTACTAAATTATTCAAGATTTCAACTGTATTGCATACGCAGAGATATAGAAGAAGAAATCAGCATAAAAAAAAAAAGAGAGAGTCACGTCTGAGGTAAAAACTTTGAAGAAGGAATCATTAATCTTTGTCGACAGGAAAACTATACTGCATGTACAACATATTCAACTAAGCCTAATTCTTTCTGAACTCTTTAATGAAGCCTCCGTTCTGTATACCCTCAGATACTTGTTTTATTAGATACACAATTAGGGAAACTCTGACGTTAAGTATAACAACATGTAAGTTGTGACATATCCCTGAAGACTTTTGTCTCGTGACGTTCCAACTAAATTAAAGTTTTATGTTAAGGAGATCATTTATCTGTGAACGTTTAAGATTTTTAATTGTGACAAGCTATTTATAAACAGAGGGGACTGTGGCTTTAAACGTCGTGTCTTTTTTGGCATGGGAGCTCGCCATTGTTGTACCGCTTATGAAAACATTCAGTGCACGAAACTCGAGCTCTAACAATTATGATAATTACGATAAAAACGTGTTTTATTACGTACTGTCACTATTGATCTAGATAAAGATTTTTTTCTATTTTTGTTCTCATTGCCCTTATTGCCGTATATTTTCTATAGGTTTCAGTTTTATTCATAGCCGATTAGCTGTGGGATCGTAAAGTGCAACTTTTATTGGAATGTGATATAGGTCGTTTTTTTTCTATAACAGAAAGAATGAATCGTTAATTTGGAATTAAGTTATTTTAATGAGTTTATTTCTAAATGTCTCTTAGGAATGTATTGTATGAAAAGTACTAAAAAGTACATTTAATTATATAAATATCAATCTGGTGGGTAAACATGTTTGTGCAATGGAGTATTATAATAGAAATTTGACGTTAATACGCGATTCCCTTTATAAAGTAATAAATCATTGGATTTAAAACGTACAGATGGAATTTATTAAATATTTGGATTTTTCACAGAATTTCAATCTGCCCGTAATTATTCGATCTTTGGTACACAGAAAGACGAGTGAATGTGAATGACTATCAATGAAAAAAGTGTACATAAATGAATAGAGAGATGAATAATTATAATTAAATAAACAGATAGCTGAGTTTTAAAGGTTAGGCATACAAATGTATATAAATAGATGAATAAGAACAGGTAGATAGAAAAACCATTGAGGATAAGTAGTCGAATAATGGGGATTAAAAACGATGAATTGATGTACATGAGCAAATAAATGTAATTAATTATAGCTGGACAGAAAAAAAGTGGATTAGTAGATAAAAGTACTGATTTATAAGTTCATAAGCAAATTAAAGTTGTTAGATAGATATTGATTGATAAATAAATGGATTAATATGAATGAACGAATAGGTATTAATCATACTTAAATAACAGTATGAACATCAGTAAATATCTCACAGAATGCCGCGCACGTGTTCTCTAACGATCAATACCAATATACGTCCCACTTATCAAACACGGCTCACTAGAAAATAACCGTTTAATTAACCGGTCATTGTAATTCTAACCAGGTTTTATTGATTATATCGTTAGGCCTATAACAAGAGTACATTAGTATGCAGAACCCTTTTCCAAGCTCACTGCAATAATGACCTTACGTAACAGTTGAAGTACTTTGCATCAATCTTATTTTGTACGTTTTATTCAGCAGAAAAAAAATAGGAATAAACGCAGGAAATAGTAGTTTTTTTTTAAATTAATTAACTTAACATGTTGGAAATGGAATTCAAACTTTTAATCTTGTTAACCTCAATATATAAAAATTAAGAAGTAAAGCAACCAGTCAATA